CTTGACGGTTATCGATTAATTCTTTAAGCCCCCTTTTGCTTGTGCCGTTCTAACCAGTCGCACTGCTTTCAGTTGTCATGAATAAGACTGCTCCGTACAACTCTCGTGAGAGCTGCCAAGCTGAAAGACTAAATGGGACTTTATGGAAAACTGTTTGATAAAATCGATCGAGAATTGGAAACGAGTTTCATGGAATGCACCTTACTCTATTCTATTCTATTTGTTGTGCACGGCGATAAATGAAACACCACGTGAGCGATTGTTCCACCATAATCGAAGCTCAACTTCCGGTTCAATCCCACCTACTTGGATCGAGACTACTGGCAGTGCCGTTGAAAAAGAATATTAGGGTTTCCAAATATGATCCTCTTGTACAGGAAATTGCAATCCATTTTACGCACACGTTTGATTCGGTAACGGCAGACAGGAAACTGTACCCATTCGACAGTTCGTATAGAAATTACGAACACTGAAGATAGAAATTCGCCAGACCCAAACTTCGAAGTAATCATAGCCTCTGTCAAACATATTCGATACTGGCATTACTGGCATCCGGTCAAACACTCATATATCGCATCTGACACTATCACTGACATCTGGTCCCTCCAATAATTTAGATACACTCAAACGACAGCAACACCGTGTGACTAAGTTGCTTACGAAACAGAGATGCTTAAAAACACTTTTATTTTGACAATGATACATCCCACATTCATTTCATGCCTATTCATTGTAAACCGAGTCTTCGAATGCTAGTTAGAAAAAACGACATTATATATATACATAATATTATATATAATAACAATACGTATAATAGTTTTCTATTTCATACTTTTTCTTCCTTTGTCAGTCTCAATACTTATGTTAAATAAAGCCTAACGTCTGGGCCTTCTTCATTCTGGTTTTTCGGGTATTCTGCAGTGCTTCAAATTTTCAGCAACCAAAAATAAACCATAACTATACGAAGATAAAAGATTGTATGCAACTGCTCTGCATAAAAGAAATCATGTATCAATGGAAAACAACTTAATTCGCTTTTGTTTCAGTACTGAAATGGGAGAAAATGAAAGTTTAACACAACACAACGTCCAAGACGTTCTAACCCTTGTGCGAACTTTTCAGAGCTGATCCATACGGACGAATAGTCTGCGGCGCGGAACGAAATAAAAATTCTAAAAACGACGTAATACATATTCAGACTAATGAAGATGGTGGTATGAACTGACGATTACAAGTAACAACAGGTGTAAAACTTACGGTAGTATTTGTGAGTCCCGCATATGAGATTCAGTTACAGTGATTGAGAGAAGAGATGACGCGAGACTGTGTAAATTGAGTGGCTCAGTAAAGCAACAAGCAAAGCCTTCGGAATGGGACGACAGAGTACCGCTGCGATAGCGCAGTGCACCGAGATGATCAGTTGATTGCATCTGAACAGGTGGATCTGTTTCAACAGCTGTGTCAACCGTAGATATCATTATACCGTTGCTTTCCGGAAGCACTGGAGATATGCTCAACGATCGGTTATGTCGACGCCTTTTCCGTGGATTTACCTCATTTTCTTCTTGATAACTCAGAGCCGCCTCAGCAGTGTTAATTGGATCGTTTTGGATGGTCGGCTGATCCGTTTCATTCAGTGTTGTAGCAGCGATTTGGTTTCCCCTGTCGCTCTTATTCATTTTTTCTAGTCTCCATGTGCCATCCATCACAGGACGACGTCTACTTGGCACGGGTGTGACAGGTGCTGGCAGATGGTTGCTTGTTGGCGAACGAAGAGTCATCTGAGGTACCTGGTTGAGCTTTCCGGTGGGAGTAAGAACACCAAAAGGGGAGGTCATCATTGACGCTATCAACTGAGAGGCAGGAGAAAACTCGTTGCATCGATCTGTGAGAGAAGAAAGGGAAACGTACAGTGAATGACGGTGTGGTTATACCAATATGATGAACACCGAAATTAATTAAAAATGTATTTTCATGTTGAATACCTGCCTGTTGCAAACCATTACAGATCGCACTTATTAACCGGTTCAATGAAAAATAGTTAGTAAAACGAAAAGAGAAACAATATACGGAGGAAAAACCACTTGGAATAGTATCATCCGAATAGCTTATTCCGTTAACCAGACCTGATCGTTCTAGCTCATTTCGAGTCCACACAGCAGGAAGCTGTTGGTAACTTATGAAGTAAGACACAAACATGACTCATGAGCAATTAAATGTGGTTTATTTATTCATTCTGCTTGAGTATAGTGTAATATTTTATCTCAATCGAAGTAAGCATGCTTACTACGAACTACGCTCATCACCACCGTTAGTCCTGTCTACAACCATAATAAATAAAGTCATATTTTAGCAACCAATGAAAGTGAAGTAAATATTTGTCTAACAAAATCATTTCGCTATTCATAAATTATTGCGTACCACGTGTATTGTGGGTTACTGTAAGCGAGCCATTACCCAGCACATATCATGAGTTTTTTATTACATATAATGTGAGTTACAGTGAAAGGGGAAATCCCCATCGGTAAATAGCAGTGTTAAATGGAGTGTAGGGGAACATTCACGTAATATCCAGTTTATTGATTCTGCGTTCAAAGAGTATAAGTTTGTAAGCTGGGGAAAAGACAGAACGTGGGAGGGTGTTCCATAACTTAGTAGTTCGGTGGGGGGAGAGAAGATTGGAGCAGAGAGGCACGAAACCTGGGAACAGAAATCCCATAAGAATGACTAGGTGCCTGCGTACGGGATAAGCGGGTAAAAGTTGCAGGAAGAGGAACTGCTGCGCATGTTCCGAAGAATGAAAACCAAAGTAGCAACGGTAGAGCAGGGATAATGAAACAACTGCCCGACGGTGAGCTAGTGACTGCAGACTGGATGTTAGGGTAAGAACATCGATTAATTGGATGGCCTTTCGTTGAGCACGATCAAGAAGGAAGAGAAGACGAAGCTCCACCCCATACGTGACTGCAGTATTCAACAGCGGGGCGGATTTGTGCTTTGTACAGTAGAAGATGAGCTGAGGTGAAAAAACCGTCTGGCGCGAAACTGAAAAAAGCTGTGCGCAACACGAGAAGCAAGCTGAACTATAAAACAGTACCAGCATAAAGTAGAACTTATGGACAGTCCAATAAGGGAAAAGGAGTCGTAGAACGCAGTTGGGTGGGGTCAAAAGATAATTGGGGGATCAATGGTGTTTTGAAGAAATTGAAAGAGAACTTTTAGAACTATTGAATGAAACGTGGTTTGCAGTGCTCCAGGAGATGTGTTCAGGATCGGAGTCCAGTGACACATTAACTAAACCACGCTCACGATCGATGCTGTTTTGGGCATGGCAGATCGTGCGGTAGGAGGGAGTAGTGGAGAGTGGCGACATCGGCAAAAGAATAGATCGGGTTGACAGTTCTCGAAAGGAGATCGTTGATAAATAGAAGAGGGTGGGAGCAAGTACTGAACCTTAGAGAACACCAGTATTCACAGGAAACGGCTGATATAGAACCCCATCAACTCGGATGGAGATGGTGCGCTTACTGAGTAAACTTGATATCCAAGCTACGAGCGCCGGAAGGAACCCAAACCAGCAGATCTTCGTTCCAAACTCGGTCGAGGGTCTCTGAGATGTCAAGCGAGACCAAGTGTGTTTCTCGGTGGCTATCCAGCGCAGCAGACCAAGATTGTGAGACGAAAGCCAGCAAGTCACCGGTGGAACGACGCTATCGGAAGCCATACTGGCGACTGTTTAGTGGTCTTTTCCGTTCGAGGAACGTGCGTTGGTGGTTAGAGATAATAGTTTCAAATACTTTCGAAAGAAGAGATATGAGGGAAATGGGTCCGTAACTGATGGGGTCAGAAAACTCGCCGCGTTGGGGAATGGGAAAAATCAAGGGGTCGGAAAAGTATAAAGTTGGAGGGAAAGATTGAAAAGACGACGTGAAATAGGAACCGACTCGGGAGCACCCATTTTGCGGACGATGAGTGGAATGCAGTCCGAACCAAGTGGTTTGTTTGCGTTTAGAGAGCGCAATGTTCGACGGATTTTCCTGGTAGAAAGGGTTTGCCAGTGAAGGAGGGTAGAAGTGTAGGATAATTCGGCAAGGTAGAGTTGGCGGCAAACTGGGAAGCGAAAACCTCAGCTTTCTCGTGGGGTTGACATACAAGATCACCAGAGGAAATACAGATTGGGAGAGGTTGGAAGAGAAGAAAATAAGGGGAAATTGCTTTGGCAAGGGACCAATTGTTTGGCTATCGGTTGGCGGACGAGACCAATTTTTCAGCTATAAAGCGAACGAAACGTTCTTGGGTTCTGTGAATGGTCGCCGAGAGTCTGTCCCTAGCTTGAACGAAACAATGATGAGTCGGGGGTGGGTGAGCGGCGGAAGGCTGAGCGTTTTAGGCGTACAGCACGGTCAAATGCATGGTTAAACCACTCGGGGGATTCGGGTTTGCCGGGTCGGAAAGTGTGAAATAAAGAGATGCGTACCTTGAAGAACAACGTCGGTGAAGTTGGAAACAGATTTGGAAACTTTCGAAGAGAAAACAGTCGTTCCAGGAATAAGCTAGGGAATGACGGAAACCGTCGCAGTTGGCTGAGCTGTAGCACCGGAATGTGTCTCGAGATGGGTGGCGGATCGGGGCTGGTTAACCTAATGGAACAAGAAACAATGAGGTGATCCGATGATTTCGGTGGAGAAGGAGTACAAATGTTTGAGAAGAAGGGACCGAAGTGGGAAATAGATCGAGGGTGGGGGTACGATCGCCAGCCCGATCAGGGACACGTGTGGGGAGGTCGACTATTTGGATCAGGTTTTTGATCAAAACGAAATGTTCGGCTTCGCACCCCAAAGAAGTAGCAGACGAATGTGTCAACCAATCCTGATTATAAACGCTTTATTTGCCGTAGCCGCTTCGGGCTGGAGGAAACCAAGTGGAGGTAAACAAATGACGTGGAGACGAGGCATGAAGAGATGCAGAGCCATTAGGTAGAGGTGTCTCTCGCCTCCTAGGTTAGGAACCGAAAGACTCCACAACCGGTTGGTTGGAGACATTGAAAGATATGGCAGCGAACCGACAGCAGTGGCATTCTTGGTGTCATTTTTTATCAGGCCAGGACGTTTGAAATGCTACGTTTGCAGAGTCCGATTGTGCACTGTGTTGATCATAGTAGTTCACCTTCATTTACCTCCTTCAAAATAACTCCAATCCCTATCCACCTTACATATTACCATTAACTTTGCATGCGTTGCGAGTTTGGCAGCGATCAGTGAAGTTCGCCTCAGTGTGTTTCGCTGTAAGATGATGATGATGACTACTGCTCACTCAAAATAACCGGAAAGTCCTAGGATTTGATGGTAAGATAACGTCATACCAGGATTACCACAATACTAAACGGGGAGTTATATGGCTCGCCACTACAAGTCCCAGGGCGTGTGTTACTGGTTTCCATCACTGAACAGCAGGTGTTCTTGACAATGGGGCTTTCTCCGTCTGTTGTTCATCACAGTAAGATGTGTGATGAAAAAAAATGATACTGAGACAACAAAGCTACCTACCCCCAAAGTCGGGTACTGATGGAAGGGTTTGAACACCTGGACTAATGGCGCGAAACACAGCAATAACGGCAACCTAAACCATTTGCCCATCAACACCCGAATTCGAATGCCATCAGCAAACCGAGTAAATATACGCATGTATTAGGAAAAATAAGAATGACCCTATTCGTTTAATTAGATGGTTTTTACACAATAGAAGAAGAGCACTTGTATAGACAATAATTGGTAAAAATTTAACTAAAAAAGAACGAATCGTTTCAGTAATGACGTATTCGACAACAGATCGGCCACAATGGAAACGGTCATTACCAATATTTTTTTATTACACACGAAGTGATTTACAGCAAAAGGGATAAACCCCATAATCAACGATATACTGTCAGGGGGAGGTATGTGGGGGAACATTCAAGTAAGAATTAATTTGTTAATCCTGCTTTGCAGAGGGTAAGGTTATATGAGCTGGGAAACACATGAATGGGAAATGTTCCACAATTGGTGGTCGTCCTGACTATCGTAATGCAAGTTCGAAGTTCGAACCCTGCCACCAACAACCAACTTTGATGGTAAGCAGCTTCACTGTCTTCCGGTCCAATATCACACCTTTCTATCTAGTTAGTCATTAAGTCTCAGAGCTAACGCGGCCGACCATCGAGATCATGGGTTTACCTTTTCTATTGACCATTACGCAACGGTGATCAGTTGGACTATTCTCGTCGTTTCTCGCATACGGTTGTGGTCTGTAGTTGAGTTTCCTGCGGTGATTTCAAAACCAACAGCACATCAAAGCTGACTGATAGGCTAGGCAACTTCGCTGTCAACTAGCTATTGAATCTAACTTATTTAGGTCTATTTATTTGTCTTTTTTATTACACACCTAAGTGTGATGAACAGCATACGGGGTAAACCCCAGTCACGAGGACCAGCTGTTCAGTGGTTGAAATCGGCAACCTAAGCCCCGGAACTTGGAGTGGCGAACCACATAAGGCCCCGATAGGTTAGGCGTGGTATTGAACCGGACGACAGCAGAGCTGCCTACTACCAAATTCAGGTGGCGGTGGCGGGGCTCGAACCTCGGACCATAGGGTCCAAAGCACGCCGGTGACAGCGACTAAACCACTGCGCCACCACTTCAATTGCTACGGCTAAAGTCGCCGGATCGTATAAATAAACAATAATGGCTATGGAGTGAATGACTACGAAGTGAACCACTACCATGGTCCACCAAATCAAAGTGCGTGAAAGATATTATATTCATTTACAGATTACAAAAACTAGAACTTATGATAGAGCACAACAGCATACGTGAATGGTAATCCCTGCAGAGAGAACAAATTTGGAGAGAGCTTGGAGGTCAAAATACCTTAACGAAGGTTGAGATAAGGATCGGTTTACTCATTCACTTGGAAAAGGTGGAACATTATACCTATAAAAAATGAGATGAGCCTAACAGACATTATATACATATGTATATATATATGCAGATAACCACAAGTAACAGGTATCGTCATACATATCATACATATTGAATAGCATCAGTCATCATTGTTGAATCCACGGCTAAGACTAGATGCTTGTTTGTAAACTGGATAAAGTTTGCTTTACCAGCCAGAAATGCTAAAAACAGACTTACCTTGATTACCGGACGGCCTTGTATTGGAAAGCTGCTCACGGACCAAAGCCAACTCTGTGGTGACTGAGCGATAATCCGCCTCCCTGGATGCTAATTGCGCGCTTAGCTCGCTCAGTTTTCTTTGGAACTCTTCCCGTTGACAAGCTAGATTAGTTTCTAGCCGTACAATCATATCTGATTTGAGAGCATTTGTGCGACTGGCAGAATCTTTGATTGTAGCTAGTTCACCAAGCTTCATATATAACTCTTCTCGCAACGAAGCCACCTGGTGTTAAAATAAATGGCATTTGTGAGATTCGCAAAAACACTTCTCAAGAGTACCGAGAATTCTGCAAGTGTGCAATTTCATATTCTGTATTAGTTAACATCACATAATGCGCAGGAAGTGGTGAGTCACATGTGATGAGAAGAAAACATGGCGGGAGAACCCTAAGGCACAGCCTAATTCCCTGGATTCAAAGATTTTCATCAATGTGACTGAGGTTCCCTTCCAAGGAAGTGACAAGGAAGTGCGCTATCGACTGAAACCAGGAAAAATGTTTATAGTGCACGCCAAAATAATTTTAGTAGCACACCACACCAGTCAAAGCCCGAGTTTGAGTAAAATCATATTCCACTACGCAGCTTTCCTGTCGTCATTTTCTTGAGATAGTAGTTCAAACGTCGAAGTTCTGGGGTTTATGCTGCCGATTATCATCACTGAACACCAGGATTTCGTGACTATGGCGTCCGCCTCGTGTGATGTTCATCACATTGCAAAATAAAAAAACACGGAATAACACCGTCACCTGCGTCAACATGACGCCCATAAAGCTAGGAACTCAAACATGGAGAGATCACTTTACAGCTCAAAGATTTGGTTTAACATTGGAGTATGAATACAGCAAACAGTTCGCAGGATTCCAAAATACGCGAAATTTCGGTGAAAACATTTCTTTCATTACCTCTCTATTTAGCCGCTCAACGACGGTAGAAGAATCGACAGTATCACTATTCCCAAATAAACCAGCATGTTCGTTTTCTAGTTTACGGCGGTCCAAAGACGTGGTTCTTGCGAGTGACCTCGATAGGCCATTACCATTTTCGTAATTGGAGAAGCTTTCACGGAGTGGAACACCAGAAAATCTGCCAGAAGTGGTCGAGGAGGAAACTAATTTATTGTAAACGGAACTTTCATCAAACCGACCATTTTTTTCTTGGTGTTGTGTACATATAAGGTCAAATTGGTCCAGAATATCTTGAGTAAGCTCCTCATCATCCATCACTAAAGCGCACCGCACACATTTGACCAACGCGCGGGAGCTGAACCAATAGCACTTCGAACGCTTTAAACAATACAATCAGTACCGTTTGGTTTATTTGAGTTCACTGCAACTATATAAGGATAAAAAGCGATCCAAGTCAACATCTTTTTTTTAGCCTATTGCGCTCTCGGCTTTCAAAATACCAAATAAACAAATGAAATTTATTCCTTTCTTTAATTTTTAGTTCAGTCAGTCAGTCAGTTTGCACAGGACAGGAGATGGCCACGGCCAATCGAGCGTCCAGATTTCCTCCAGTAGTAAGCCCCGTTCCGGCCCCTACCACTGTGAGTGTTCTATATTACAGTTCTACACGTTTTCTTCACGTCTCAGTTGTCTCCGTCTCTGCAAGGGAAGAGGGTAAAGAAAAAGTATCTTCTTCCCTTGTTCAGGCGAGACCTCACGTTCGGAAGCGTTCCCCGGATGGGGGTGGTTAGTAAATGAAAAACCCACCCCTGTTTCCAGGTCTAAACCTATGCGACTATTTCGGGAAATAAAGTTAGCCAGCGCTTATCGAGCTCCTTCTTGAAAGTATATACGC